ACCCCGCACAACATGATCTACTCGACCACCAGTATGGTTACCGCCAAAAAAAAAAAACGAGGTGAAAAAAAAAGGGTAACCTGGTTGCCGAGCTCACGAAGTGAATTGGCTTGTTTTACAACGTCGTTGCCAAGCGACGAAAACCCAACCCCGACGGCAAACACCGGGGGGGGCGGAGGCAGTAATATTAGTCACAGCAACCAACGAAAATACGCAATATCCATGTCATGATGTCATGATCATACAAGGCTCATACACAAGTTGCTCCATTACATTAGCCCACCCTGGGAAGTCGAATATGCAGATACTCTATCCTCGACCATACTCAGATTTAGATAGAGATCGAAGGTGCGATTTTCCACATGAAACACACACACAAAAACAAGCACGCAGCTAGTGTCGGAGAAAATAGTTATCCCCGACAAGTACTTCAAACCATCAAACCTTCCCCACACCACACATGTGATGACTACTGAGAATCTCAACGCAGACGACAAGGTTGCAGCGGAACTGATCGCAGCGGGTCCGGTCGTAGCAAATGTGGAAACGACAACGCCTATTTCGGCGCTAAAATAAACTAGCTCCCACCACTCAAACACGCGCCAGCGCAACATAGCGTACCATGAACGAGACAAAGCGCCAAATTTCAGTAGAGAGGGAAACAAACGCCATGATTTGAAGGCGGCAAAGCAAATAAAGCATAAAAAATATATTGAATCGTCCCGTGAATCAACGACTTGAAACAAAGACAGGCGTTGAAAGTCGCCTAAAGTCCGGCCCATCGTTTCCCATTAGAAAACAGCGGCTAGCAGAGAAGTTTGCTCGCCAGCCGCTCTTCGCCTTCGTCTTGCACGTCCTCAGCTTCGGTCACGTCAACCGCGAAAATGCGGATGTTCCTGCCATTCGCAAAATGTTCGCGCACTCGGACGAGGAGTTCGGAGAGGAGAGCAGGAAGGCAAGTACGTTGTTAGATATACTCGTAGCATAGTAATGTGGTTGAGTATGGGACATGGATCTACGGAGATTGCAGTTGGTAGATCGCGGAGGAACAGGGAGTTTCTGCTTGGTTTCTTCGGAGATTCGATGAGTGATCTGAATTGCGTGACGGATAGGTGTGGTGACGCACTCTTCGGCTGCTCGGCCTCGAGTGGTCTCTGCCCTTCCCTCTTCCCTCTAATACAAGACTTTCCCATCTCGGCCCTCACTGGCCGAGCTGCCTTTCTCCACAAACCTACAAGCTTCGGCCTACCCGGTTTATCCAACACGCTAGGATTAACGACTTTGTCGAGGGTGATTGGGTAGCGCCGATGGGCAGCCGCATGCGCGGCTGACGACACCCAACCAGACGAAGAGGCCACCAACGGCGAGGGCCTGCACAGCAGCAGCAACCCCAAGACCTACAGCAGCGCCATCGTCAGCTGCAGCCCGCCGTCTACTTGGGTAGTAGGCCCGCTCAGGCACGTGATGACTTTTCAGTTTCCTACTGGACTGTTGTTGGTATCAACACACCCATTGCGGTGATGCGGTATAATACTCATAGTGCCGCCGATTCTAAACGCGGCAATACGCCGTGCGGTACTGCCGTCAAACGCCAACGCTAACGCAACCTCCAACTCCACCTCATTCTCCACCGCCACCTCTCGGCCAAGAAGGTCGACTACCTATTACCGGTAGACTCAATCAAAATCGCGACATCGTCGCGCGGTACCGCCGTCAAACGCTCGGCCAAAGAAGGCCGACTACCTGTAGCATAACGGGTAGACACAATTAATGCAGGTTACCAGTAATCCTCAAAAACTGATGCCAGTTTCTAAACTGATGATATGATGTGTGCGTGTAGCATGGTATTAGAAATAGTATTGTGCGTAATGAAATGCAGTGATCGGCGAGGTTTTTGCTTTGTCATCCTGACAGCCGTGCTGAGACCAACTTTCTCTCCCCGGCAATAGCGTGATCAACGTTTTATCTGGGCTCTCTTTGGTAGCTACTTTTTGAGCAGCAGGTTTAGCCTGATCAAAAATGCGTGATCAACGTTTTATCTGGACTCTTTTTGGGTAGCAGGTTTAACCTGATCAAAAACTTTTCATGTCTTGGTTGTGTCAGCGAGTGCCGGAGACGTGTCAAGTCTCAACGAAGTGCAACATTGGTACCTCCACCTTGTTGCAGATTAAAAATTCACAATATTGACGAAATAAATGCTGATTTCCTAATATTGTTGTACGTTGTCTTGAGATTGCTATTTGTTGTGAGATTGCGGTTCCAAAAGTTGTTAAGGTTTTGACTTAGGATTGATTACCCTATGGTTAGAACAGTAGCAGCAGCTTGATTACTATTTTGCAACAGAGGACTAATCAACCTCCGTTTCAGGATGATATTCAGCTATTTATGGTGTGGCGATATCGCATCGGCAATGAATTTCAGACAAACCATTCCACAAGTAGGGTCCGACGACTTGAACGTGTGTTTCATTTATTGTTTTTTCTGCTGCATGCAGTCACTACTTTGCAGAACCGGGGGGAATGTTTGTATGTTTGTGATTCTCCTCAGTAGTGCTGGTTTGTTCGGAACTAATCTGCCGCCATCATCCCCTCCGAACGCGCGACCTGCCCTGCACCACTGCCGAGTCAATCCTCTCGGAGCGACAATTGTTCTTCCCCCAAGTCAGGCGGACGCAAACATCGAAGCTCGAGCCGCGGCCAGCCGGAAAAGATGGCGGAAGGCGACCGCGGCGGAGGCGTGCGAATTGTCCGCGGGGGGGAAAACAATGGCTTGGGCAATGGGTTATTAAGCGCTGGAGCTTGATGATGCGCCGGCAAATGTAGGGGTTTCGAGTATTGTTTTGTTTTGGTATTAGATTGGATTTTGTGTTGATGTTGTCTTTGTTTTGGTATTGGATTTTGGTTTTGGTTTTTGATTTGGTCTGGACTTTCGGACTGGAACTGTTTGGTAATGGATTTTGATTTGGTTTTGGTATTAGCTTTTCGGATTTGCATAAATATTGTTTTTTCTTGAGCTTTCGACTGGATGGACTTTGAATGTGTTATTTTGGTCTGTGTTTCTGACTCCAACCCCTTCTCAAATCAGGGGGGCAGATCCCTCCGAGAAGAGGGGCACACTATCCTTTCAGGAGGAGGAACGGAAAGCTGATGTTTGGTTTCTGGAGTGTTACAATCAAGAAATATTCGCGTTTCACCTGCGGAAGTTGTCTTGACGTTGACCGGATGTTTTGGGGATATTGTTTGATCGGAATTGTGAGAGTAGCATTCGTTCCTGGTCGCGTTTTATCTGCGAACTGGGTACATTCTGTGTGTTCGGAAGCATCAAACATGCATATTTTATCCCTTGCGAAATTCATGTTGTCTTGGTATTCATGTAGGATTTGGGGATGACTGTATGCATCTGCAGTATTTCGAAGGCGATTATCCAGGATTGATCATTGTTTTGGAAAAGAATGATGGAAGAGTTCTTCCATAATTATGTTAACATGAATGGGTTGTTTAATGCCTTTGAGACGTAAGGGATGAAATGTATGGCGAATACAAATGCGACGAGATGCAGAGAGAGCAGATGGACCAATAGCAAAGCGTTTTCTGAGTTGAAGGATGTAGTGTGCTAAGAGACGTTTTTGGTTCAGGAATATTTGCATAATCGAGTTTTTGGTTCATTGTTTGTCACGGACGAATAGGAACGACGTTTTGGTTCGTAAGTGGATTTATGTTGCCTTGCCGTATCATTACGATGCATACGAGCAGGGAGGCTGTTAGATATACTCGTAGCATAGTAATGTGGTTGAGTATGGGACATGGATCTACGGAGATTGCAGTTGGTAGATCGCGGAGGAACAGGGAGTTTCTGCTTGGTTTCTTCGGAGATTCGATGAGTGATCTGAATTGCGTGACGGATAGGTGTGGTGACGCCCTACTCTTCGGCTGCTCGGCCTGGAGTGGTCTCTGCCCTTCCCTCTTCCCTCTAATACAAGACTTTCCCATCTCGGCCCTCACTGGCCGAGCTGCCTTTCTCCACAAACCTACAAGCTTCGGCCTACCCGGTTTATCCAACATACGTGACCGGCAACGATCTAAAAGAAATCGAACCTCACTGAACACCCGGCCCACTAGGGAGGGTCAGAGTGAGCGTAGGCCATGATACGTTTGCTTGGAAGTCTTACGTGCGGGCTCGGCAAATTACACATTGCCGAGTCCACCAACGGACAGACACATGCATACCAATCCACCAGAAAAGAACGCTCCAACATACGTGAAGTCCGAGCGGTGTCCAGGTGGAAAGCCGTGGTATAGCGTGGCATGGTCGCAGAACCCAAGGCCACAACAACTTGGGCATGTATTTCCGCGGAGTCTTCGAATATGTTTCAGGCAAGACCGTCGGGAATCCCATACATCGAAAATGTAAATGCCACCACACACTCGTTCTCCGACGGCTGTTAGTTCTCGGACATAGTGTTCGAGTGAAACGAATTCATGGGCAGCCGCAGTGGTACCAACGGTGGACGAGAGACAGACGTCTGGCTTCTCAGAAGGGAGAGCCGGAGGAGGTCCAGCGACCACTGGTCCACTAAGACTGAACTATTGTACGGGAGCACACAGAAAGACGCGATATTCTGCCAGACCAACATTGGGGGGCTGACTCAGACGTCAGCATCGCCAGGTTGGGTCCACAACGACGGAATACCGTATTACATACTCCTTGAAATGGATGAGCCCACCCAAGCCAATGCTCTGCATTAAGAAGAGCGGTTCCATAGCTCCGTGGAAGCGGTAAGCCCGCCCAAGCCAATGTTCTGCATAAATACAGCAAAGCTGTTCATACCTACCTGTGTATCATCCACCACAAACAATGGTGGTGTTTTCCATGTCCATCAGCGCCGTTTTCCACCAGCAACAGTGGTGAAGCGGCGCTGGCGTGAAAAGCGGGAGGCACCATGTGTAGCATCTGCATGAGCGGTCCGCACGTGTGTTCGCAAGCCAAATCCAGCGGACCACATGCGTCCGAGGATGATGGATCACCGCCAAAGATCCATCACTCGGTGGCGCAATTAATTTCATGAATGGTTGTGCACACGGGGGATGGTATCCCCTAGTGCGTCGGTCGCAAAGTCTTGTTGGGTCCGACGTGACGCACACGCAAGAGCGTGCGCATCCCAGCAAGAACTTTGCCCAAGATATTCTGACCACATAACCTTAAAGGCGGCGCAGCACGCGGGTCGCGGGTATCGACACCAATGCGCCATAACGTGTCGAAGGAACGAGCCTCCGCAATCTGTGTGACCCCCGTAGCCAAGAAAACTTAAACTGCGCGCGCGTCAGCAGTTGGGGTGAATTTTGCATCCAATAGCAAAGAGACAGCATCCTCACGTCTGAGCTCCCATAAAACGTGCTCAAAAACCTCGCGCCTTCCGTCCAAGAGAGACTGCGATGGCTTTGGTCCGAGTTAGCCATGATTTTTCATATGCGGAGTCATCCCGATAAAATGCGAGCTGATTCCACCATCATGAACTATCTTCCGCACACATAGCGGATACCCTGGACCAAGAACGCATAGGGCGTCCAGTTAGAAAAAAAGGACGGCGGTTTCCAAAAGGAGAAAACCTCATCGTTGTAACATTCCTGACTACCATCAATAACAGGGGCCTGCCGCGCCGGTGCGCTTACCTTTCCCGAAGAAATATCATCAAGGGAAATGGTACTGGCAACCGGCAGGATAATCTGGGCGCCACCCGACGGCGGGCAGGATTGTGAGTGACGAGGAGAGGCAGGCAAAAGCGGTGAACCAGCCGCAGAAACGTGCGAAACCAAGCGGTCTACGCGGGCGTTTTCGCGCAGAACGTCGACGTAGGCCTGTTCATTAAAAGCGGCCTTCTTCGCGGGCGCTCGACCAACATGGCCAGCGGCCGCGGGAGGCTCGGGACCGCTATTTCGTGACAAAGAACATGAACCTTCCGATTTGGGAAAACCGTTACCTTCGCTCGGCAACGGCCGTGCAGTCAGCACCGTGCGACGTTGATGCTCCGTAGAGGAACGTCGCGAGGGGTCTGGAGGGGACGCGGTGGGTACAAGCGTACTCGAGCCACCGCGGCGGGCTTGAGGCTGACCCGAAGGTCCCTGAGCTCCGACGAGGTTGACTTGACCACTCGGAGACGCCGAAACGGTGGGAGGCGCGGAAGCCATGCCTCCAGAGGGCATAGACATCGGGGCGAGCGTCCGTGAGACGGCCAACCTCTTATCGTTCCCGCGCCCACACCACAAGGCTGTAGTCAGCACCGACAAGTCACGACGGTCGCCTAAAACAAGTTGTGATGAGGCGCGGGGCGATATATATCTGAGAAACAAAAGGTTGGAAGTCCAACACATACCTGTGACGGCGATGCGTGCAAAAGGCCATTGCTGTCGTACCACGAAAATGCGAGGTTCCGGAATTTCGCGGGCGCGGAGTTCCAGCGACAGCGGTGGACGCTGGGGCGGCGGCGACACCAGCGGCCGGTACCGGGAACGGGGTGTGTGCGTCCGAGTTGCTTCTCCCAGAGCGGTGGTCTTCGCCCGATGTATGGTTACCTGAGCCACCTCATTTCTCGCATGCGAACGGTAGAGCATCATGCGGTGTGGCCAACGGGAAACACGCCGGTACTACTTCATACGAGGTTATGGCTGGGGTTACTAGAGTTGGACGTGGAACAGTTTTTTGTGGTGGTTGCACAAAAGTACCTGCAGTAGGCTCGTGCGTCTGTTACAGAAGAACGGCGGCGGTTCATCATCACCAGCTAAAGAGGGGGGTGGTATCCATCATCATTCGCTAGAGNTCGTCAGCCGTGAGGGGGGGGTGCTATCCATCGTCACCAGCAAAAGAGGGGGGGGTGCTATCCATCGTCATCAGCTGGAGAGGAAAAAAACAACGTTGAAAAATTCCCCGGCTGCTGCAGCTGCTGCTGATTGTTTGAACAGGACGCTTCCGCCACCGCTTTAGATAACAGCAACAGCAGCAGCAGCAGAGGCGACACACCCTCTCGCCCACAATGAGTG